GGGGGGGGGGGGGGGGTATCAGAAGCGGGCAAGCGGCCTGAATTGATATTAGGGTTTTTACACATTTTCAGGTAACACATTTTTCATCTCTGAAGAAACTCTATTTTCATCCCAGATTAGACATGTTCTTACATTGTCTTACAACCCTAACACCCCCCCCCCCACTCCCATGGCTTGAAGCCAACTCCGGTCCTTCGCCCCACCCCAGTAGGCCTACAGGCCCAATCGCGATCGACTCGATCCGATGATTAAATTGCGCGTGCGCTTCTTTTTTGTTGTCAATTTAACTTTCAGCGAACACACATGCGAAGATCAGCGAAGAACACATTTCTACCAAAGTGACATTGATTTAGTAAGTTTACCTAGTGTTTCAAGCTTTCAGAGTATAAAATTCAACTGATTAGGCTATTTAAATTGTTATGCTGTTTTGAAATCATGTTATTTAATGGACAAAATGTAGTAAAGTGATTTTAATGTCGGATTCTTAATGACATGACTGAGTTAAGTAGTCCCACACGTTGAAAATTGAGTTTATGAATATGATGTCTGCTGATGGCTGATGAAGCTTTGCCTTGGTGCATGGTGTCGCAAGCACACATAGCTGCATTACTATCCTGACTGTTTATTAAAAGCTGTGCTATTGATTCTCAACATTTCAGACACCACTGTACAAAACTCAACTGATTTCACTTAAAATTGGTAGTTTAATAAGCGAGTTCGTAATTCAATTGCACACTGCGCATGCGCCAAAATCGGGAACGAACTTTTCCAAAGGTCACATGAACATAAAGTATAAACAGTAGGAGCGCTGGTCCGAGATTGAGGATCGTCCTCATAAACGAGGATATCCCCATAAACGCTGACAAAATGCGTCCTCAAAAACGAGCATGGTCTGCATTTTCGCGGACGTTTTTTTATCATCGGCGCTCTGCGGGCTGGCGATGCCAAAAATGGATTCCCTGGGGGGAAATAACCCTAGATCTAGTTCATTGTTTACTTTTATGGGTTGTCCGTCTTCCCAAGGATTATTATTTATTGCTCATAATGTGAAGGTCTCTGTACAAAGTCAATGTAATTAATCAAGAAAAATCATTGCGGTATCTGTTTTTTGCATCGCCTATGTGCCGATCAAAAATATGAAACGTCTGCAAAAATGCAGACGATCCTCGTTTATGAAGACAATCCTCATTCTCGAACCAGCGCCCCTACTGATAAAGAGAGCTGAGAGAGGAACTGTAATTTGTTTGTGTGCTGGCCTATCTGTTGTGAATTATCACATCTGACACATCAGTCACCGAAAATCATTTCTGAATTTTGGAATTGGTTCTTTATAAACTTTACTTGTCATCTGATCATCAGTAAAGTATTATCGGCATTATCGTGATTCATCATCCAAGTCCCAGGGACTCGGATCCACATGCCACAGACACTTTTTAGTCTGAAAAAAACATTTCCTAAGACAAATTTAAATTATAACTTTCATTAAACTTTGTTTTAAATGATATTACCAATTTATCTAGTAGGGCTATTAAGAGAAACAGTATAAAACTGTCTTTATATTCTTTGTGGTGCAGGTCCCCTTGCGTGTTATCTTCATATTTCCCAGTGCCGGATCCAGCCGGCGGCAAGAAGGGGGGGGGGGGGGGGGGGGGGGGGGGGGGGGGGGGGCCTTATTCGTGAGAAAATATTTAGCGGCGAATCGGCCAGCCGGTGAATTAGCTGGGGGGGGGGGTGGGGGGTAAGAGCACTTTTTTTTTTTGTCCAATTTTTCAGGAAATATTTAGCGGCGACTCAGCCAGTCGGTGAACAAGCAAGTTTGTTTAAATTTTTTTAATTTGATTTTGATTTTCTTTTGCCCTCCCCCATGGATCTGCGCTTGCTCTTGTACACGTCATGTGATTCCTGACTGAACTAAAGGTTTATAATTATGATTGCAGCATGAGCTAAGTCCAGCATTTTGTGTGCCAATGCCAAAATTTATTGCAATGGTATGTTAATTGATAATGTAGACATTTTAAATTTCTGTTCGAATTCTGTGATTTGTAAGTTCTACTTTTGTTTTTAGCGCTTCTAAATAAGCGATAATATCAGTCGACGTAATAGTGGCGATTCAAAGTTTCAAAATTCAATCAAAATTGTCTAGGTGAGCGCAAATATAAAAATACTTCTTTGTTATTCAATGATTATTTTTAATGATTCTTAAAACATAAATACAAAAATTAACAAACATATTGAAAACAAGCAATCCAAATCGAAACAAAATGAATTAAGTTACAACATTTCAGAAAAAAGAAAGAAACAAAAAAACACACAACGGACTAGTTCAATGATTAAAATTATTATAGCGCCAAAAACAAAAGAGTAAATGAAGAATCTGATGGCGCATTAAACAAAAAATTAGGTAAAGTATTCCAGAAAGCCGCACCATCAAATGAAAAACTTTGTTTCCCCATCTGGGTTTTTATTTTGGGTAAAATTAATCCTGCGTTTTGTGCACTGTGTGTTCTAATGTTATGTACAGATTGGGTTTTTTGAAACATTTGTAAAATATAGACAGGAGTTTGATTTTCAAAAACAGAATAAATCATTTTACATTTGAAATAATTCCACCTACTTTGAATACTTACCCAATTGAGTTTATTCAAATTTTCTTGAGTTGGGGTTCTTACATTGGCCCCCAGGATTACTCTGACCATTTTCTTGTGTTGTTTAATGATTACATCTCGGACATTTTGTGAACAATTAGACCATGTATTACAACAATATTCAAATAAAGGTAAAATTAATGCATTGGCAAGAAGCTTCAGTCCCTCCAAAGGTAGGTATCTTTTTGAACGACCAAGTAATGCTATCCTTGACCCTATCTTTTACTTGTTTTTGTCACATGTTCTTTCCAGCTCAATGTTGGATCTAGCCAGACTCCTAGATATAAACCTGAGAGATTTGGTGTTGCTCGAGTTAAATGCAAATAGATTTTTCAAGTTTAGCCAATTTCATTTGTGAACCAAATAACATAAATGCAGTTTTTTTGTGGTTTAATGCCAGATTTTTTTGTTTTACCCACTCATAAACTAGTTTTAAATCAAAGTTCAAGGCCGATTCAATGTCCTCACTTTTTTTACTACTAAAAAAACAGTACAGCATCGTCTGCATATCACTTGACTTGGCATTTGGATACTACCTTAAGCTCTCCATTAACATAAAAAAAAAGACGATCATGGGGGACCAACAGGCACCGCTTAGGCATTGTTTCCTATATAGAGGGAGCAAGTAGCTACAAGTAGTGCAGTGGGGCTTTAAATATTTTGATGTGTACATGAATAAGATGGAATAAGAAATGGTTTTAAATTTTATTCGTCTTTTTCATTTGACAGTATCTTGTAAAGCTTCTGAAGGAGACTCATTCACCATGGGTAGACGTCGTGCTAAGAAGAAGCCTCCCCAGAAGAAGAAGATGCTTGGAACACTGGAGACTCAATTCACATGCCCATTCTGTAACCATGAAAAATCCTGTGATGTTAAAATGTGAGTAACTTACCTCGTCTACACCAGCAATGGGAGTTTCATATATTTTTATTTTCGGATGACTGAATGACATAATTTTTGGAAGTGTACCCAGGTACTGATGTTATCAGTCTTTAAAAAAAAAATTTAAAAAAAATAAAAATGTAGTATTTAGCCCCATAAAATACATATTGTTAATGAAACTTTTTTTCTCATTTCACAATTTCATTTAGTCATGACAGGCTTTAGGTACATAGCACTAAAATACAATGATATTTTTATGAGTAAGAAATTTCATTAAAAGGCCTTCAAAGTGACTTCAAACCCATCATTACACAAAGCGTTTAACTTAGTAATGTCCGTAAAAAAGCAGATAAAAGCAATTTAATCCTTACGAGGATGACAGAAATTGATTCCAGGGAGGTAATATGACTTACATGTACGTACATCAAATGTATTGGCTTCTACTTCTACACAACAAGAGAAAAGAATACATAGCTATCTGGCAAGGATGACAAATCCTAAAGATATTTCCACTGTTTAATTGTGAATACATATTTGTGTAGAATACATTTTGTGTCCATTGCTTTATCGACCATCTGTATCTACCACCTGTCTACAAAGACAATATTTTGTTTCCCTTGAAAATGTTTTTCTCATTGAAAGATGTACTAAAGGAACTTGTACGTAAAGGCCACCTGCCTATGAAGACCACTTTTCTTGTCTTCCTTGGATGGTCTGATAGACAGGTTAACTGTATTTGCATGTATAATACTACATTTGTAAATTATACTAGGTATTGCTGATCACGAACATGGCAATGAATGATTAAATACGAAAAAATATTTTCAAGAGCGATAATGGATTTCAAAATTTGTTTTATTTCTTGCAGGGATCGAACTCGGAACGTTGGAGTGATATCGTGTCGTGTTTGTTTAGAAGATTTCCAGACAAGTATTACCTGTATCCTTTACAAGAATGATGTTTTTAAAAATATGCGTTTTCTTTTCATAACCAAGTACTGAACCTTTTGATGAATGTATTTGTAGGGACAATTTTTTAACCTCTTGTACAAAACAAGTGTGAAGCGCTTATCAGGGATTTGCAAGCCATCAAAAATTGTAGCAGCAAGAGTTTATGAAAGAAAGCATGTGTACAAACTTCAGATTAAAAGACTTTTTTTTTAAAAATCCCTCTGAGTGAAAATTGAAGCACTTATTTTGTACATAACAAGTGGGGTGAATAAAACACTGCCAGTTGCAAAATTCAAATTTGAAATGAAAAATGCCTGTAATTTTGCTAATACGTGTATCAATTATTTTGCCACTATAATTTTAGGAGAGTTTTCAATTACAATTTTTTTACATCACTTTGGCCCTTTTACAAGTTCTGAGATTTTCACCTTTCAAATCCCTGTAGTGCCCTGTAAGATTTCACAACATATGAATAGAGTCATACCCTCTCTTTGCACTCTGCTTTTCTCTTGCCTTTTAGTGTGTCAGGTAGATTTTGATATTTTTATACATTCTGTACACTTTGATACCGGTACAAAGAAACCTGCTTCAGTGACCACCTGTATAGAAAGAGCATCTGTCCATGAAAAGTATTTCACATTGAAAACTGTACAAAACTAACTTTTAAATAAAGCCTACATGTACCTGCTTATAAAGACAGCATTTGTCTTCCTTGAGTGGTCTTTACATACAGGGTTCACTGTATTCTACTTAACTACTTTAAAATCTACTCCCATATTTATCCCAAGTATAAAATTCCACTGTCTATCTATCTATTTATCACCCGGTTCGGAGGTTGACAGCAAGATATTCATGTACACACTACATTCACAGTCACACCAATGAGACCGACATCAGACCGACAACAGACCTATATCACATCCTATGGTAAAGAATCGGTCGGTCTGGTGTCTATTGGGAGCCGGTCTGGCTGTGTGACTGAGGCATTGCTTGGATGTCATTAACTCGGTCATTATAAATGTAGAACATAGAGAGACGGGGTATTAGTAATGGGCATTTGACAAGGCCGCAATGAAAATCAGATAATGAGATATATCCTGACATACATTCATTGTGTCTACCTGACTCAGGCCTGTGGTTGATGGGAGAGACATCAGCTGGCGTAATATCAAATACCTAGGGTATGCCTGCATACAAGCCCCCCCCCCCTCCACGCTTCATACTTCTGTACTTCCCAAATGTTGCCCCCCCCCCTCTCTCTCTCTCTATCTTATCTTGTTTAGTAAGTTTTGGTTGTAGATTTTCATTCATTGTGTCTACCTGACTCAGGCCTGTAGATAATGGAATAAACACATCGGCTGGGGCAATGTCAAATACCTAGGGTCTGCCTGCATACAAACCCCCCCCTCCACCTCTACACTTCTGTACTGCCCAAACGTCCCCCCCCCCCCCTCTCTCTCTTTCTCATCTTGTTTAGGAAGTTGTTGGTTTTAGATTTTTATTCATTATGTCTACCTGACTCAGGCCTGTAGATGATGGAGAAGAAAAACTTCAGCTAGCGCAATGTCAAATACCTAGGGTCTGCATAATAATAATAATAATATGGATATTTATATAGCGCCGGTATCCGCCAGGCTCTGACGCTCATGGCGCTGTACATACATGTATACTATCACAAAAATATAACTTCTTAACTAAAATAAAGTAAACTAAAACACAAATTATAACGCTACATTGACATGATTAGATAGCACTGTTTAGAAAGAGATGGGTTTTTAGAGCAACTTTGAAGGCATGAAGGGTAGTTAAATTACGAATACTAACTGGCAGCTTATTCCAAAGGGACGGACCAGAATGAGAAAATGCTCTATCCCCCCAGGAACTGCGCGTCTTAGGGACAACTAATAAGGAGGATTGAGATGAACGAAGATGTCTTGTAGGCTTATACTTAACAATCAACTTGATATTGTAGGAAGGAGCAGAGTCATACAAGGAATGGAAAACTAGCAACAACAACTTAAAAATAATTCGGTCACATACCGGGAGCCAGTGAAGAGTTTTGAGAATGGGGGTGATGTGGGTTCTACGAGAAGAAAGTGTGACAATACGTGCAGCAGTATTTTGCAGTTTCTGGAGTCGAGAAAGTTGTGTGTTAGGGAGCAGATAGAGAATAGAATTACAGAAATCTAAGCGTGATGAAATAAGAGCATGTACAAGTTTCTCTGTGGTTGAACGACTTAAGTATTTCCTAATAAAACCTAGATTTCTCAGTTGATATCTGACTGACTTACAAATACTAGAAACATGAGTTGACAATGACATAGACGAGTTTAACATGACACCAAGGTTACGACATTGCGAGGAAGGATGAATTACAGAATCTGATATGGATATATTGAACGACTGTATCTTAGCAAGATTTGATTTGGAACCCAATAAAATTAATTCAGTTTTACTATCATTCAGTTTGAGTGAGTTCGAGTTCATCCAAGTTTGCACATCTTTGACGCAAGCATCGAGTAGTTTGACAGTCCGACTTGCGTCATTTTGATTGGGAAGGAACGATGCGTAGATCTGGATGTCATCTGCATAGGAGTGATACTTGACATCATGCTGCTGTAAAACTTGCTTGAGCCTAGTGATGTACAAGGAAAACAGCAACGGCCCCCCGACTGACCCCTGCGGGACGCCACAACTGAGCTTGACAGGATCAGATCTTTCATGATTTACACATACCAATTGCTGCCGTTCATCCAAATAGGACATGAACCATTCAAGTGCGTGGTCACGAATTCCAATGGATGACAATACATTAACAAGAATACGATGGTCCACAGTATCAAATGCTGCCGACAGGTCTAATAACACGACTGCTGTGATCCTACCAACATCCATTTCTGTCAGGATGGTGTTGGACAGGTTGACGAGCAGGGTCTCAACACTGTGATTTGCACGGTAAGCTGACTGGTGATTGTCGAGTAGATCATTCTCCTGTAGGTAATCATACAATCTAGAGAAGGCTACCCGCTCCAGAAGTTTCGACAAGTAAGGTAGATTCGAGACTGGACGATAGTTCTGGAGACATTCTGGATCTAATGAAGGCTTCTTCAGTAGTGGATGAATGTGAGCGATCTTCAAGGCTTTCGGAACTTTCCCACTCTGCAGACTCAGGTTGACCACATTGGCAATGTAAGGAGATATGATAGCGGCACATTCTTTCAGAAGCTTAGTTGGAATCGGATCAAGCTCACATGATTTCACAGGGTTGTTGCGGATAAGTGACTCAATTTCCTCTGAAGTAGTATCTGCAAGTGTTGCAAGTCCAATACAAGACAGTGGTGGAAGTGGTGGAGCAACATCGGTACAGAGGTGCCTTCGAATACTGTCAATCTTGGAAACAAAGAACTGGCTGAAGAGCGAAGCTAGGGATTTGCTGCATGCGTTCGCAGGAAGTGGAGATGTCTGTTTGCGATTCAAGAGTGCATTAGCAAATTTGAACATCTTCTTGGAGTCGTTACCACAGTCACTTATTGATTGCTGGTAGTAAGCATGTTTTGATTTGCGGAGAAGAGAGTGTACATGTTGTTTCTGTTTGCAATACAGTTGACGATCGATCTCCAACTTCGAAAAACGCCACTTCTTTTCCAGGCGCCTACGTTCTTGTTTCTCACTTTTAATTTCGTGATTAAACCAAGGAGTATGAGCCCGTGTCTTGACAGTTCGGGATGTAGCTGGAGCGTGGACATCTAATAAGTCACTGAGAACCATGTTATACAAGTCGACTCTAGCTGTTACATCGTCAGTGGGTGAAGATGTCGAGGAAAGCTCGCTGTTCATCATATCTGTTGCAAATGATGTTCTGTCAATTGCTTTGATGTTACGCATGACTCGAGGATGTGCAACTGATGGAGGTTTGTGCAGATGTATATTGCACAAAATTGCAGAATGGTCCGAAATACCTGGAGTTATCCGAAGGTCTGAGAACACCTTGTCATCAGATTGACGAGATATAAAACCGTCCAGGATGTGACCCTTGTCGTGGGTAGGTATGGAAACATGCTGCACCAAATCATAACCTGCTAATAACTCATTGAATTGCTTGGTGTTTGATGCCAACAGATTGTCAAAATGAATGTTAAAATCCCCAGTGATGATAAGCGACATTGGTTTTAGCAATCGCTCGTCTAGCATGCTTGAAAACTCGTCAAGAAAACTTGTATACTTTACGGAGTTACCTGGAGGACGGTATATGATAACAACGTCCACATTGGTATTCTTGGAAGTCAAGGTAGCTGACAACATTTCAAAGCATTGAAAATCTGATGGAGGGTTGACGATCACGTTCAATTCACTGCGGTAAAGGAGGCCGACTCCACCTCCACGTTTACATGCCCTCGGGAGATGTATAAAGCTGTACCCAGGAGGGCTTGATGGCAGCGATGACTGCATCGTCATCCGGAGTAAGCCATGTTTCACAGATTCCAACAACATCACAGTTTTTTTCCAATATAAAATCCTGGAATTCTGTAGATTTGTTTCGGAGTGATCTGGCATTCAACATACAGAACGACAGATGGTCATCCTTTAAATAAGTCTGATCAGTCAATGTAATCAAGTTGATGTTGCAACTTTTGGGCACAGACGTCTTCACAAACTCAGGATGTGTATATATATGTGCATCGGAAGATGAAGGAAACCCAGTAATGACCCGGATTGGCAAGCCATACTTGCTTTTACTGCGGTGTCCTCCTTTGAATAAGCGTCTTGTTCGTCGTCGATAAGTTGAAGGGTGAACGAGGCCCCATCCATGTTTAGCACACGGTGATCTTAACAGGCTTAGGGCCGATAAATCGGAACACAACTGTGATGATAGTGAGCATTCGTGAAAAGTAAATACTCCAGCATTCAGCTTATGAAGAAACCCTATGCTATATTTTCTTGTAGCAGTAACTGTACAGTCAGGGTTTGAAGCAAGAAGCAATTGTTATAATAGATGGAGTAATTGGTGTAGATAAAGGATCAGGACATTCCGTAAGATCCTCTTTGTAGCAGTCCTGAATCCTTTGTAGGCAGGTGGCTTTGTCCAGTTCACTTTCCAAGAAGAGTGAATAGCCAATGTGATGGTCACTGCCATTCAGAGTACCAACTATTGTCAGTGATGAGTCAAGTGGATGACCATGAACAATAGTAGTCTGGAAGTATGGTGCTGGGAGATCTGGCTGGACTCTCAGATTGTAATGAAAAGTGAAATAATATATCCAGAAACTGCTCAAAAATAAGACCAGACTCCTTCTTCTGAGTAGAACCATGATGATCACTGAGTCCTAAACTTTTACATGGTATAAATTTGAAGTAGCTATTACTGCAAAAACAAGGTAATTTTAAGCAATAATCAAGAGTGTGATCGGGAGCTGCCAGACACTAGCGCTACACCAACAAAATCCTACCAGCCTCCTGTACTCCTCAAATGCCTGTCTTTGTCTGTTTGTCTGTTTGTCTGTCTGTCTGTCTGTCCCCTCTCCCCCTCTTTCACCCTCTTCTCCCGTTCTTTGCCCCTTCTCCCCTCTTTTCCCTCTCTCCTAGCTAATGGAAAATCCTCTTTCTCTAAACAATTCTCTTTCTACATCTCCAATATAGATAGTTTCCTTTTCTCTGTGTCATGGTATTTAGTAGATACATGTACCTCTGTTAATCTCCCTTTTGGCCAGTCTTTCTCTCTGTCTCTGTCTCTGTGTCTCTGTCTTTTTCCTGTCTGTCTGTCTGTCTGTCTGTCTCTGTCTGTCTGTCTGTCTGTCTGTCTGTCTCTGTCTGTCTGTCTGTCTGTCTCTCTTTCCTGTCTCTTCTGTCTTCTTTCTGTGTCTACACCTTTTTTTTCACTCCATGTGCCTCGTATCACTGCCATTTCTTACTAAATTAAATGTTGATGACCGAGTTGTGTTTGTTGTTGCATGTTTGTTTTTAAATCTTGTTCTATACAAGAGCATGTTCACACGTGGTTGAATTCCTTGACTTGCTGCCTACACAGACCTATCTGAACCTGTGGATGTATACAGCGACTGGATAGATGCATGTGAACAAGCGAATGCCTAGCGAACGTGACGTCACCCCCAACCCCTCCCCACGGCCGTACCTCACATACTCGTACCTCAGTTCCCCCGGCCCATATTGTGGACACTTTCTAACATGTCTCTGATCGTACATGTACCTGATTTTCTTACAATTGGGAAAGTGTAAATCTTCACAATCTACCGTGCAAATACATAGCGGACATACTTGTGAACCCATATATTCATGAGAGAATGGGCCTACTTTAATTTGTGGACTGAACATCAATTTAATTAAAAAGTTTGATCAAGTTATAATGTGGAATGGCTTATTCACAGGGTAAGAAATGGAAATGTCAAAGGTGAATTAGAACTCCTGGGGATGCAATCTAAAGCCATGAAAAATAAAGTTTTTTTTAAAATAATTTTTTACTATTGTTTATTTTATTTTATGTAAGCTAGTTCATTATACTAGGGAAATTGGACATAAAGTGACAATATACATAAGAAGATGAATACTATGACATAATTTTTATGCCTCCGCCACCGAAGGTGGTGCCGGAGGCATCATGTTTTCGGGTTGTCCGTCCGTACGTCCGTACGTCCGTACGTCCGTCCCGTTTGACCGTTATCACAATATCTCAAGAACCATTTAAGATTTAAACTTAAGACTCGGGAATAGTATTCATCACCATAGGAAGACGATCTGATTAGATTTTGGAGTACGTAGGTCAAAGGTCACAGGTCACAGAGGTCAACTTATGAAATTCCTTGTATTGAGTTTGTTAGCGCGATATCTCAAGAACCATTTGAGATTTAAACTTCAAACTTAAGGATAGTATGTATCACCATAGGAAGACGATCTGATTAGATTTTGGAGCACGTATGTCAAAGGTCAAGGGTCACAGAGGTCAACTTATGAAATTCCATACATTGAGATTGTTATCATGATATCTCAAGAACCACTGGAGATTTAAACTTCAAACTTAGTGATAGTGTGTATCACTATAGGAAAACAATCTGATTAGATTTTGGAGCACGTAGGTCAAAGGTCAAGGGTCATAGAGGTCAACTTATGAAATTCCATACATTGAGATTGTTATCATGATATCTCAAGAACCACTGGAGATGTAAAAACTTCAAACTTAAGGATAGTATGTATCACCATAGGAAGACGATCTGAGTAGATTTTGGAGCACGTAGGTCAAAGGTCAAGGGTCACAGAGGTCAACTTATGAAATTCCATACATTGAGATTGTTATCATAATATCTCAAGAACCACTGGAGATTTAAACTTCAAACTTAATGATAGTGTGTATCACCATAGGAAGACAATCTGATTAGATTTTGGAGCACGTAGGTCAAAGGTCAAGGGTCACAGCGGTCAACTTATGAAATTCCATACATTGAGATCGTTATCGCGATATCTCAAGAACAACTGGAGAATTTTCACTTCAAACTTAATGATAGTATAGTATGTATCACCATATCATAATATCTCAAGAACCACTGGAGATTTAAACTTCAAACTTAATGATAGTGTGTATCACCATAGGAAGACAATCTGATTAGATTTTGGAGCACGTAGGTCAAAGGTCAAGGGTCACAGAGGTCAACTTATGAAATTCCATACATTGAGATCGTTATCATGATATCTCAAGAACCACTGGAGATTTAAACTCCAAACTTGTTTAAATTGCTCTATGGCGGAGGCATCATTTTCGACTGCGCGCAGTCAAAATTCCATCTAGTTAATTTCTGTAGGAAGATGAACTATGAAGATATGATATTTATGAAATTTCAAGTTTGCATACTCATATCATGTACATGTAGAACATTATTTGATCATGGACTGTATTTTCATTGAGCTATATGTATTCATTGACAGGGCTCTGTTGCACAAGCCCAAAGTAATCACCAAATTCAGGAGGCTTAAGTTGTAAAAGATATGGATTAATTTGGTATTACATCAGTATTACTGGACCAAGACTTATAAACTATTTCTGTGCATCCTTTCCAATCCCTACTTCATAGTAATGAATAATCATATTCTTTTATTAAAGGAAGGGTATTTTATTGACATCGTCGCTACCACTGCTGTAATGTATTTTCAATTGCGCCATCTTTTGGTGAAGTTGTTCATAGAGTGATTTCCGGTTCCTATACCCAAGCATCAGTTGGTGATGCATTGTGGGACGTGGTTGTCGACACATGGGGACATTGTGAGCAGCAGATGGCAGTATACATAAATCCGAAGTAGTGTCAGTAGAATACCTTGCCTTTATTTAAGTGCCATTCTGTAACACTTTGTCTGCTATGGATGGAAATCCTATACTATAATTGTTTCAACATATTTTGTACCATCACATTGTACCTGTGGTTAAAGTCGACCGTAGCAGTCCAATATTTGTTTCATTAGCCGACCAAGACGAGTAAAAAGTTTACTTTGTGATTGACATTTTCCATTGTCCTTTTTTGTGGGGGTGACCTTTCTATTTGTGTAAGTGCTTGTCAACTATCAAGAGTTCAAATTTTGTTATTCTTAATTTGTACTACTTTAACCATCGACATTCATGTACAGGTTGCGTTTCAAAGTAGTTGAAGTTGAAAAGATTTAATTTCTTAATATGATTGTGCCCTGTAAATGTATTTCATTGGTACTTGTGAATAATTTATCATGCAACCAAGATTGATGAGGAAATGACGGATGTCACAAATCAATTGCCAAGATTCATCTTTTTGTTCAGACGATCTCTTACAAAAGTAAGCTTCCAAATTTCTGGGTAGTTATAAAGGAAGTTTGAGAAAATTGAAGGAATTGCAATATTGCTCTCACGGACTTATAACAAAAGAAAACAGTTTCTCTTTGCTGGGCGTCATTTAAAGGTGAATTGTTTTTAAAGGCTGCACATGTGTAAATATGTAAATATTCTATTTTAAGTACGACCGTTTATTCTCTTTAATGAGATATTGTTTCTCAACCATATTTAATTTGTTTCTAGAGAACATATATGTGGGAATATGATCCTCATAATTCATATATTTTCTTCAATGAAAAAAATCTTGAAAGTGTAAATTTATCTTAAATTTTAATGAGTATTGATGTTCATTTTAATAATTTTCTTTGGTTACATGCACAGATGGTGATAGTCTGCTTGCAAGCATATTTTCAGACAAAGGCTATGTTTACGAGCTGTCAGGAAAAGCAAATGGTTTTTGTTATCTTTTTGTTGAACTCAAACATCATTAAAATCAGTGAGAAATAATTAAATGTATATTTGTTAGTATGTTCTTGTTGTTACCCTCTTTTTTGTTTTGTTCTTGGCAGGCTTTTTAAGAGGGAAATGGGAAGACAAAGGAGCAGGGGTAGGAGGGAGGGAGAGAGAGAGAGAGAAGAGAGAGAGAGAGAGAGAGAGAGAGAGAGAGAGAGAGGGAGAGAGAACAAAGAAGGAGGAGAGAGAGAGAGAGAGGAGGGAGAGAGAGAAGATGTTGGCCTTAAAAACACACCCCAAAACCCCAGAGTGAAACAATGTATAGCACACAAGACAGCAGATGCACTCATTCAACAAAGCAATAATGACATGTCTTCATAGTACATTTATTTGTTCATCCCTAATAATCTCATGATTTACATAATTGCCTAAAGTCACCCAATATCAGGACATGAACAAAGGAAGTTCTACTGAAATTTTAGTCAATAATAAACATACATGTACTATATAGGAACATTTCAAGGATTTTGATGATTAAGAAAACGTTTGTGTTAAGTAAATAAAAGATCTGCCCTTAACTCTTCTATAACTATTATACAGTTAAGGCTTTGAGGACAATGCATGACGATGTCCACACAATCAACATAATCAACAAATATAAATCATATTGACCATTTCTGATTAAATAGGTGATGTTTACAAAGGAATTTAAGACAATATTTAGAGCAGCAACATAACATAAACATACAAAATATAATTTTTCTGATTATTCAAAGGTTCAGGATTTGTAATTATAATTTGAAGAGTTTTATATCTCATGTCATTTTCCTAATGACTGAACCTAGATACTACAGACTTGGGGAAAAAAGAAGAAAAAAAAGGTGACATATATTTTCATGAACATGCCCAAAAGTATATAATAGTACTTACTGGATCTGAAATTATAAGATAGATGTTATTAACCAGCTTACAAAAAGTTACTGGTATATCACATGTAATAAATAATCAAGCTATAGGAAATCTTGAGTTCTAGTAATGGAGGAAATAACATTCTGAATTTCTGACAGAACAAAACAAAACTTGCATTGAATGTTCATAAGTTCAAATATATGATGTCTGCCACATTAATAGTTAAGTATTGAGCAATGAAATATAAAGGAACATGCAGTCCCCTATGTGCATATATATGTGTGTGTTGTGTCTCTACTAGTAAATGCGATTATCAACAATATATTTGTTGTTATTAGTCGACGTTTAATGGTCGAAAGAAAAATTTCCTACACAATTTAGGCTAGTTACTGGGTACTCTAGATTAGAAGCTGCATTACCAGAACTCAAGATTAGCATTAGTGTTTACATAAATCCTGTTTTTCGTAACAGATATATTCTACTTTAATAATTGGTCGTGTATCACATGCACGTATGACCCATTCAAAATGAGTGAAGAATACAATAAAGTTAGGTGCAAATACAGTGTGATTGACGACTCACATACAAGAAGATGCTATCCTATGTCCAGACAGGGAATGAAGAATTTTCCACACAAAAATAAGATCTCAAAAGTAGCCTCACAAGCCAAGAACAGAATGACATGTATTAGAAACTATAATTCTAGGATAGAATATGAACTAGATTCTAGAACGAGGATGAGTACTCAAATACATGTAGGGCACAAATAGTTTCTCACTTTCAACAATCTTTGGCTCCAACATCACCTCACTACATACCAATGATATTCTCTATTCCCTAGCCCAGGTACTGAATTTTCTGTTATACCCATCATGAGCATCAAGACTGCACAACAATAAGATTGTGCAAAAAGAAAATTCAATTTTTTGGTTGATCCTTTAATCTAAGTTTAACTAGAATATAGAATATAATGATTTATTTTTCAATATCCTTTAATCTCAGCTAAATTTGCCTGCTATCCCAAGGTGACATATAGGTACTGAACGAATGAAGGAAAGAAAGTGACTCCTTTTTATAAGAGCCAGTTGTTCAAAATATGCCTAAAATTAAAAATTTCAACAAAAAATCAAAGTGAGTCAGATTCGCATACTGTACATGTACAAAATCTGTACACTATATTATATCAATTTTGCTATTGCAAATTTACAACCTGGAAAGTTTCACTAAGAGAGTTTTTCATAACCACATTACTTTTTCAATTGTTCCGTACATATATGCAAGACATGTGTGTTATGTTTTGCATTTCCATAAATGATTGCATTGCATATGGAATAAATCTTTAGTAACAAGCATTCCCATTTTTCCATTTCATAATGGACATAGCAACTAGCATTAAAAGCATATCCATTATTTCAATTCAAAAGGACAATTATAACATCTTCTGGTGAAAGCCAGAAGGGCACTAACTCAATTTTTTTTCTCCATAGAGTTAATGCCCTTCTGGCTCTCCAGATATGACATTACACACCATGTGAGTATGCACATTAACTACATAGGCAGACCAGCCTCCTTCCAGAAGGCGACCCACACCTGCAGGGCCCGGTTTCATAAGACTGTTTATCGAAAATAAGTTATAATAACTGTTACAAGCTACTGAAATTGTGGCCTCTGATTGGCTAAGAGCTAATCATTCATAGAATCTTAGCATTTGTGATTGATATCAAGTTTCATGAAACAGGGCCCGGATCAGTAAGCTGTCCTACTATGTAAGCTCATTTCTTATTGGTTGATGATGATGTCATGGTGATACGAGTGAGTAAGAGGACTGTTTTGATTGGTGGGATTGGGGGTTACTGCACTCTGACTTGGTAGTCTCCATTCTGTGTGATGTATCTCACCCATGGTAACGCTTGGTAACCACTCTTTTCAATGATCTTCAGATACCGAACCTGAAAGATAAAGATGACATCAAAATAAACACTTCTTCTTCCAGTGTAAGTGCTGCTTCAAGGTGATGAAGATAAACGCACTGGTTGTGTGTATATGTGGAGACTTTCACGCTATTGCATTTGTCCATGTATACAAGGCTTTGATATAGCATGAAGAGTTCTCTACAAAATGGAGTTCACCGATATCCATTTTCTGCATTTAAAAGAACAGTTCACAATGGCAGACATTCCAAGATTTAATATAGATTGTAAACATACAGGCCTAAGGTAAGAAATGATTTCTCCAAATGAAGATGATTTTATGTAAACATAGATTTCATAGAATATATATTTTATACTGATAAAACATGAGAAATTATCTTGAAAGGGTTGTGATTGGTTGTGAAAATTTGTAATCTAAGATGGCTCACCTGAATGCCTGATGTTGTGAAGTAAGGTATCTCAAACTTGACGCTGATTGGAGGTCTACCCTCTGCTTCCTCTGCTTGCACACTGGGGAGGTTGAAGTGAGCTCTCATTAGAAATTCCTTGCCTCCCTAATACATAGCAAAACAAACGACAAAAGAAATCAATGAATTTAAGTTTTACTTCATGTTCTCACAATTGTCTAATTATCTACTCAGTCCCACTTGTACTATTACAAGAAATATATTAAGGCTTCAGCCGTGGCACTGTATTAACACAATTCTGTTTGAATTTTCAATCTACCACAAACTTCTAGACCTTTTGATTTTTTGCTGCCCCACTAATGAGGCCATGCAAAGAGTTCTTGATCAAAGATTATTTTCCCTTGTCATGAATATTTGTTCGTTTCATGAAGTTTTACACAAAGGAACTAAACGTGACACAATTTAAATGTGGTAATTGAAAACGAATCAGTCTCTGTCATGAAAATTTGCCTCTTTCATACAGATTTACACATCGGAACTAAATGTGACACCATTCAAAAACGAAAATCAGTCTTAGTCATACAAATTTACTCTTTTCATATAGCTTAGAACATAGGAACTAAATGTGACAAAATATAAATGTCACGATTTGTAAACGAACACCAGCTTTTGTCACAAAATATTGCTATTTTCATGTAGTTTAAACATGGGAAATCAATGTAACACAATTTAAATGTCACGTTTTGAAAACGAATCAGTCTCTTTCATGAAAATCTAATCATTTCATCTAGAATTTCACATTGGAATGAAATGGGATGCAATTAAATGTCACAATTTGGATAAGAAAGTCGGTCCTAATGATGCACTCACCGGGAAAGACTTGATATGCCAAACCACAGCATTCTTCTCAGGCATGTACTTGGCAAAGCCCACCGTCGTTTTGAACTTGGGTGAGTCTGCATCGCTAGGGACTGGAATGATGACGTCCACATTGTTTGCCGTCGATCTCCTCTTGAACTGGCTCTTTGCTTTGATCATGTACTCCACTCGAGAATGAGAGTGACGCTCAATGACCGACTCGATCCAGATTAGAGGTTTGACCTGTAGAGGTTAATATTTGGGGTGAATGATTGAGAGCAAGATTCAGATTGAGGTACCGCCATCATTGTCATCATCCTCTTCCTGATCAACATCATCATCATCATCGACATCACCATCAATATCACCATCGTTACTCTTATCATCATCATCCTCATCCTCATCATCACTATCATCACTGTTACAAACCAGCGTTTTGTAACAGTACAGAAATTTACTATAGGAATACCTAATGAATTCTGTTGGATAACTTTGCAGAAAGCAAATTTTATATATCTAGACCTTTCACAAAACTTTAAACAGTCTCCATTATACAGTACATATTGCATTTAAAAATCTGGACCATTCACAAACTCTTTCAAAGTGTCTCGTTAACTGTAATTTTTTTTGTTTATTATGTTTTGAACAAACGGCCATCTACGCAAAGTTGGCTTTATTCCTTTCTCACTCCGAGAATCAGCGCCATTCATGGAAAAGTCAACTGAACTGAGCGAGTGGGCTTGGTCAAGATGTTTAACTAGGGCAGTCACTCACATGGGTGTTGAGTCTGTAGGACATGAGTTCAAACTCCCCGTCGGGCGGTATGAAGGAGATGGTACGATCGTTTTCAAAGCGGGAGAGACGCACGCACTGGTGAAACTTGACGTCTTCCAGCTCGACTGACTTGCTCTTTCCTCCTTGTGGTCAAGAGAATTGGAGGATTGGTCAAGGTTTGGCAAGAAGGATGAACGAACGAACGAACGAACGGACGGACGTTTGAAAGGGAGAGGTGACAGACAAGAGAGAGTGGAGGATGGGGGTCAAACAAAGACAGAGCTGTATAGTCATAAGAGGTCATCAAACACAGAGATAGAGTGATACTACAACATTCCAAACCTCAAAAATACACAAAACCTATCATTTTTTTGTTCATTTATTCGGCAATCATGTTTTATAACGTCTCTACGTCTTATATGTTTTGTATTGTATGTCCTGCATTGGCAGTTATGAGCCATGACCTGGACTACTCTTATAATATGTCTGTGACTGTGCAATTCTTTATGTTTATACTGTGTTCCTTTATTGAAGATTGACAATAAAGCAATACAAAATCAAAAGTTCTTCAAGTTCACCATATTTTAAGTGACGCTGTAGCTTAAAACAGTATGCCTCTGGCACCATCTTCGGTGGGTGGAAGCATAAAAACAATTAATCATTGTTTTTGTTAACTAATCATGTCCATCCTATGACAACGGAAACCATAGTTAATGTTTGGAAGTTGTTTTCAGCTGTAACATGTAGATGGAATTGAATACAATGGTTCAAATTATATTTGTGTAGTATTTATGAAAACTCATGTCAATTCACAAGAGACATTAAGATTCAAGCAAAAATTAACAATATGATATTCCAATTTATTTGAAAATATCTTTATACAGTATACGACTTTAGCTATTGCTCCTTTTGTACTTGAACTGAAACATCTATCGGTACTGCTTCTTCAAAACCTATTTGGACATACAGCATGCTTCTGTTCTACTTGTGTACGTGCATGAAAATAAGAAAGATGAAAATGTGAAAAACAATAATCGTGCAAACAAACGTTTACAAGACTCACAAAAAAAAGTCATGGAGGAACCATGCAGTAAATGTTAAGGACATTAAATGAAGAAATATGACGTGAGAACATTAAAATGTTCAAATAAAACAAATTAATGATGTAAAAATAACTGTCTTTAAAAATGACAACAACAATGATGTAAAAATAACTGTAGTACTAAAGTAAAGTGGCAGCTGTTTCAAAGTATATTTTAACAACAAGTATACAAAAGGCTGAACAATATACAAAATAAACTAATCAATTAATGATTAAGAAAAAATTATATTATTTTCACTGAAATTCACAACCCTCTTTTCAATGTCTCTTCAATATATCTGTCTCTGAAAATTAGAAATAATTGCTTTGTTATACAATCTATTGGTAAAACAACAAAAAAGTTCATACACCAAGCAGATCGATGCTTTACAGTTACACCAGAACGTGATGTACATGTAATAATCAATCATTTTTTATTCCTGCTAAAAATTTGGTTACTGGTTGATTTCTCACTTTCACTGCCAACAAAGCAATGCACTTAATACGTTTATCCTATTGCATATGACAATAGGCGAGTCATTCCAATTATAATGCCAGTGGTTATTTCTTTAGGGTTGAATATCATGGTACTACAAGTTCATAATTATTCAATAGCCCTCAAAGGCAAATAAAGGTACTGCCTATGCGCTTGTTTTTCTTCTAGAAAAAAAAACACGAACATACAGTGTTAGTTTAAATCACTTATGTCCTTTAAAGAGCCTATACATTGTTTTAATACTGCCTACATTTTCAATTTGTGACTATACATGGTACTTACTGCCTATAATTTCAATATGCGACTATATACGGTACTTACTGCCTACACTTTCAATATGCGACTATATACTTTACTTACTGCCCGTGTTTTCAAAGAGCACTTTGTCGTTGAGTCCAAGCCTGAGTTCCGGCATCCCTGATAAAAACACTCTCATTTTGATGGAGCCTACGATTTCACTTCTCAGTACATTACCATTCACATTCACCTGAAAATAAAACACAAAATAGCAAGTTAAAACAAAAAAACGGCTAGTTTCTATTTCATACTTAAGAACTTTGTACGATTGGAAATGCACATACATGTAGCTTTTCTTGTAAAGCAGCTCTACCTTGGCTCGCATGAGTCATCATTTACAAAATATTTATTAAATTCAATGCAATCTCAACAGTAGATAAGCACAACCACATTTAGATAATTTAAATAACTGAGCATGAAGCACACAATCTAAATGTATAAGAAAAAGATTTTAAAACTATTAATTATTATCTTTTTGGTAAAGCCATACATAGATTTTTCCGCCTTGCCTATGACTGACAAGCCCCATATGCAGGATAGACATGTCTTTCCACCGTGGGTGCAGGGATAGGTATGAGCAGACACAGGTGGTGTTTTCTCCAGCAATGTCTCTTCAAATTTATTCTCCATAATGATAAATTATAAACACAAAGTAATGAACTGAAAATAAACTTGTTTTCACTTCATAATTCTTTCTATGCTTTAATACATGAGTTAAACCAAAAGGTGAAGCAACATTGGAAAGGAACATTAAGTTATCAATTTAAATTGTATACAACATTTTGTAATTCAAAGGATGGTTAAAGTATCATTGGTGGGCCCCATTGCATAAAGCTTACCATTGTTGATAACTTTGCCATAAATGGTAACTTCCATGGAAACCTTGATCTGATTGGCTAATGAGTAATGTTGCCAAGGTAGTTAATATTGATGGCAAAGGTTGAAAGTTATCATTAGTGGTAAGTTTTATGCGATGGTGCCATGATGTGTTACTCTCTTCTTCCCTGGCCGCCACCTTTTGCACTCAGAATATTGCTTTTAAAAAAATTGTATTTGTACAATTTTTGTCATTCTAATTTTTTATCACCATGATTATATTGTTTTATTGTTATATTTCTTGAAAGTGATGAATAAATAATAAATAAATAAATAAATAATTAAAAAAACATGCAAAATCTGAAAGAGAAATTGTTAACCCTACCAGTAAGTTGACAGACTCGATAACGTCTAAGAAGACCTCATTCTTGCGATACTTGATGTTGTCACTCCTCCACGACACAGCATTGGTGATGGCTGGGGGTGGTTTGGGGGCTATTTCTAGTTTTTGGCCTTCTTGCGTGATGTATCTGTGAAAATGACGAATTTTTTTTAGAATAACTTGAGTATTAATTTTTTACATAGAGGAAGTGATGACATTGTAACAGCATAAATCCCAGGAGACTATTTTTTAATGGTAAAGGCCAGTATTGGAAACGCCCCAATTTCAAAAAATGAAATGGAAGCTCTTATTACCAATCATGTGAAAGAGTATATTTTGACTAATACATGATGATGAAAAATTTGCCGGGAAACCGCCTACTAATTGATATATTTGGTAAATTAGTTTATCTATTGGTGTGTGAGAGATAAACGCATGTGTCGCGCACGTGTGCGTAGTCGCATATACATCTTTCTGTGTACAGTGCTTGTAACTTTACGAAGACTGGGACAAATTTCTTATCATTTTGATGATTTCAGAACCTTGCAGTACACACCAATACTTATATGCTAGATAATCAACCTTTTCTGATCGATTCCACAATGCTTCTTTCACAATGCAATTGCATGACCATAACTGGTCTTTATCTTTAAATTCATTTTATTTCAATCTACTGAATAGTTTACGTAGGTTTATAGGCTGCTTAGAAAGTATGTGTATGGCTCCCACATGAAGGTGAATCTGTTTTGGTATTTTCATGCTTGTTTGCACATTCTTCTTAACAATATTGGCCAATCTGTTTGGTTTGTCGAGCATTATCAATCCATCTATTTTGCTCATTCAAAATTAGAAATATTTAGGTAATGCAAACTACAGTAGAATTATGACTCTGAACTTTATATCCTGCATATGTCAATTTCCAAAACACTACTGAAATTTTAGAATAAAACAAAAGATTTGCCAAAGACATGAAAATTAAGAATGAAATCAAATATAATAAAATCTTGTCCAATTGTAGCTTTTGGAGATATGACTGTGGGAGGGATTTTTATCAAGTTTATCCACATAAAATAAGACATGTTTCTAATTTTTATTCATACTTTCCTTTCAATTAAAAAAAACTTTGTCCATTCTGTTACACATGCAATTAGACTTTATCTTCAGTGTTGTACTGGTCCTCTCCCCATTTTTTTTGTTAAGGCCAACTTCAACTTCCAAGCTATATTGCAGAGATAAAATACAACAGGGCAATTCCACGGTAACGGAAGGACACTCAGACAAGATTTTTGAACTTCAGGTTCATACTAAAAGAACTGTTTTATTAGTATAAGATGTGAAACAGTACAGATATAATACCTATATAAGTGCCTTTAATTCTCCCCCCAAAAATTGTCATTATAGTTAAGTAGTTTAAGAATGTGCATATTAATTATCTCGGTAACGGAAGGACATAAAAATGGACATGGTTTTTCCAGTTAATTAGTGTTTATCCAAACTTTGTGAAGTTGATGAAGCTTTCCACCTGACTGAAACACATTTTGTTCCCCATAGTTTAATACATACTAATAAAACATTTCTTTTAGTATGAACCTGAAGTTCAAAAATCTTGTCTGAGTGTCCTTCCGTTACCGTGGAATTGCCCAACACATGACCTGCTCTTGTAGTATTTTGCTATCTGCGGTCTGTTGGTAGCCAAAGTCAATGAGGTCATCGGCCTAACCCAGGTTTTTAATACTAACTTAGTCTTAAAATGGAGGAAATGAGAATGAGACTTACTCCTGTAATATTTTACTGTCTGTGGTCTGTGGGTATCCAAAGTCGATGAGTTCATCCAGTAATTCATAGATGATGACAAAGTTGTCTCTGATGCTCTCCTCCTCCATCTCCTTGAAGTACTCTATGAAAACCTGCAGGAGAAAAGATAAAGGTCCAAAGTGAAAAGATATATTTTGAAGGTTACTTCATGCAAGTTTACCGGTAAATAAGATCAGATACTATTGACTGGTATGACGGTTTTAATTATCAGTCTCTATGAGATGGTTCTCTGCTTTAGAAAGCAAGTATTCTCCATTGAGCATTTGCAAATAGAAGCACAGGAGAATCTTACAGTACAATTGATATTAAGTGAAAATATATCACTTGGATGTTACTTTACATAAAAATTTAAAAATTATCAGATTGATTGACATATAATGGTTTACATGTACAAATGTCCAGTCTCTGCATGAAAATTCAAGTTAAAGCTTAGTACTCTATTCATTAGACTTGAGAGAAACCTGGTTCATATGGCCCCAATTTTAACTCTGGACCAAAAAAAATTTGGAATTAAACAGAGGCACTGTGGTCTAGTGGACAAGTCGTCGGACTGTGGATCACAGGGTCCGCGGTACGATTCCCACCGCAGCACTAATGTCCTTTGGCAAGACATTAATCTACATTTGCCACTCTTCAGCCAGGTGTTAAATGGGTAACGGTAGGAAGGAATTCCTTGAATGCTGTGAGAGCCAAAATTGGCAGCCTAGCTAGCAGAGCCGGGTAATATTTGGAACACCTTGAGCACTTTGCATAATGGATGTGTGAGCCATATAAATATCCGATATTACTATTCACACAGAACAAAATTTAATATGGACACCCCGTGAAAAAAAAGCAAAAAGTAAGGGCAGAGCCGTACTTATTTTGCTATTTCTGCATGACACTACAAAACAATAATTGCAATGAATACATGTACAATGTAAGAATAGGAGAATATCTCACCTCAACAATTTTGTGAAGGATGGTGAATACAAGGGCAACGTTGGCATTCTTCTTTGATATTGTGACAACTGATAGGTAAGAGATTAAGGTCAACAAACAAATAAACCTGAACGAAATGAATGTCCTAAATTGTCTTAACATTTGCATTTATCGAGAAACACTGTCACTGTGACCAATAAATGATATAAAACAATAACATAATATATTACAATTAAAAAGTATAAAGATACCTTTGGATAAGGCAATATAATTCACCCTTCTCCCAGTAGACACTCTTATTATGACAATCCTGATATGACCCAGCAAGCAAGATATAGATGTAAAACGACTATGGTGCAAGACCCAGAAGCTGGGACATCCCCCCCCCCCCCCCCCCCCTTGAAGTTAGACCTGGAAGCTTGGCAGCTGGAGACAGCTTTCTTCCAGAAGCTTTGGTATTCAAGGTAATCAAGGCTCTTTAGCCTAAGACCATCACACAAGACATTTACGTCTACTTGTTGTGTAGGGTACCTACATGTACATACATGAAATACCAGGGTAACTGATTTATAATGTTTGATGCAATCAATACAAACATGGAATCATTTTATAAAAGGATACTATATAGGTTGTTGTGTTTGATGTACATGTAGTTAACCCCGCCATGGATGATGATCGGTGATAACGATTCCTCATCTTCTCTGTCCATCATTAGAGTCATGAACTTATCGATGGCAGACATGTCCACATCACCTCGGTAGTTCCGTGAGATGAGGACCTAGGGGTGAGAAGGTTTTATTTGTGATTAAAAAAATGATTTATATGCAATTATACATATGTATCTCAGTCACATTGCAAAACAACCTCCTAACCGATTCCATAACAACCAATATGTGCCCATTTTGTTTATTTTGTTTGGTCTGTTCTTGGTCTGGTGTCGGTCTCGTTAATATTAATGAAGAAGTCAGGACCTCTGTCTATTCCTCGAAAAAGACAGATTTAAATTTGACCATAAGGGATCCAAACACTAAGAGAAATGGTTTTCAACTATTATTGATTGGGGGGGGGGGGGGTAGTGGGTCCGGACGCTTTACAAAATCAAGCGGTCACTTTTGGCTTTGGATTTTATAAAAAGTGTGCATCAAATAGCACTAACAAAAAGTAACAATGATAAATATTTATCCCTTATAATATTATGAGGAATAGTATCAGAGTAACTATTAAATTGTGGACCTCTAGGACTAGGTGCCGGTGCCCAGCGTGAAATAGGGCTCCCCCACCATAATTTTGTTAAACAACATTCTGACGTTTGATAACAACAATATTCAATAACCGGCATTCATACTTTTTTTCCACATAAGATTCAAGAGATTTACTTCAGCTGAATTCATTACAGTCATCAAAAACTAGAGACCCTATATCAAGATATGCAATAAAAAAATGTGTCAACAAATCCCCCCCCCCCCTCCAATTTTCGAGATGCTTTCAATCATTTCAACATTTCATTTTCAAGATGACATCGACAAGAATTAAGAATGAAGAAACTCACCTTCCCCTTCAAATCGAGAATGAATAGAGCGGATACAGACATGATGTCGCTGTGTTGTTAGACCTTCAAGTACTATAATCTTTCATGTCACACCATGTACACTTTTCCCTCAAAATAAAGGTCTCTGCTGCGTTGTTTCAATTTTATTCTTGACAATATTGTATTTGCTCTGCCCACTATCAGTCAGCTTCATAGACAATACACGTAAAAGGTTACACGTACAAAATGCATTGGAGATTTGGTTATGATGTTGTTAGATATAGATCGTGCGTTGATCCTGGCCGGAATCACGTAGATTATTGGTATCCGAAAAAGGCCAATTTAACGGTGCCAATTTAATGATGACTTTATGAAACTAGCGATTCATTATAGTGTAAAAGGCATGGAGATTGTCGCCGAATGCGAATCCCACTGGTGCGAAAGAGCATTATTCTAAAAACGTATACGAAGTATATTCATTTTTTTTACAGGACAAGTTACGTAGTCTCTCATCCAGGGGCCCGTTCCTACAAACCGTCATAAGTCTAACTTCTTGACTAAATCAGCGTTAGTGAACAACTTGTCCGCTATGTGTTTCACCAAGCCCTCTTTGCCAAGATCAACGACAACATCCTGACTAAGGAGTTATGACACCTCTGACACCGTCGTATCTCTGTCATAACTATTTAGTCGATGGGCAGCGCCATCACATGTCATTTATTGGGTAGACTATGGCTGGCAAAAAAGGACAATAAATCCTCCAACTAAGATTTTTCTACACATTCACTTAAACAGTGAATTATCGTTTTTGTATTTGATAATCTCATGAAAATATGCCATGTTTGTATTTAAGGATTTTTCCACTTAAATAAACTGATTATACGCCTTTATTTCCACATTGTAAACTCGTCGAAGGGATATGTATTTTGCCACGGCAGGCAAGCCATAGTTTGAAGTGTATTCTTTAGTTTTCAGACCCATATTAATTTCGAGATGAATTCTATTTTCAATTATGTAAAGTGAATGGTTTAAACATATGTTTTAACCTTTGAAATATTGAAGTTTTGTAATTTTTATATTGTGCTGACGCCAAAAACATTGAACACAAATTTCATTACATCGTATTTTTTCAAAGAATAATATAAGGGTGTATTTTTATAAACTATCAAATGAAAATATTCGGGGGGTGCCCATCTCAACAACAAAACTGATTCACTGGTCATGTAATGAAAAACTCACAATTATATTTTACAAGTACTTCAATTGTTTAATCAACACAAATTTGGAAGTATATTGGATCTCTTATTTCTTGGTATCATTTTCAATCTTTTTTATTACTAATTCATTTAAATAATTGCATTTTCCCTAATATTAATTTGTAATAATCTGGTGGTATTGCGACTAAGGCTAATTCTCGGCTCCTCTTCTCGCCGATAATATCGATCTCACGAGATACTAGCTAGTAAGCTCTTCGTGAAACGGTTTAGGAAGATCAGAGACATCTCCGTAGTTGGCGGATAAAGTTATGACTGTCTTGTCGTTGGTTTCTAGGAACGAGCCCCCGGGTCATTATTATATTTTTGTTTCTAAATTTTTCCTTTCTTGTTTGCTTCAGTGTTAGAGTATTTTTCGGAATTGTGTTGACCATCAGTCGAGTGCTGTAATAGTAAACAAATCCTGGCTTCATGCACGGTATCAGGGGCGGGGGGGGGGCGTTGGGCGGTGGGGGCGGGTGGAGGCGGGGAACGTTTTTTTTTTTGGGGGGGGCACGTCTCCCCTCAATTTTTTTAAAGGGGGATCGTCCCTCCCCCCTCAAAATTTGAAAAAGTGCCCCCGAAAAAGGTAGCAAATAATAAAGACTGCAACAAACTTAGGTTCTGGAGGGCCCAAAAGTGCAGCGTGTAGACAAATAAAATGCAAAAATCTTTTCACCCGGAAGCTACGCTCCCTTGCATAATAACCTTCTAAATGTATAAGTAAATACTGAGCAAAACGAAGTGTGAAAAAAGTTTATTGCTTGTTTTTATACTATAGTTTTGCTAAGAAATATAATTTTTTAATACAACCAAAACTTCAAAAATCCGTAAGGGGTAGTCCCTCTCATTCACTATGCTCCCTCGAAATTGCGTATTGATGGGGGGGGGGGGAGCTTTGGGGAAGTCCCCCCTCAAAAAAATTCATTCAAACGTGGTTTATTTCTAATTCGATATCAGTGATTTACAAATGTTGCTGAAATGGCATTTTTCCTGACTTTCCTTGGGCTCTGCCCCCTGGACCTTACGGTCCACTTGCTTCGCTCGGCTTGATCTACCTGATCGTAAATACTTTAGCCAGGACCTGCGTAACATGTAGGAGTGATGGTGATGCCGGTTCTTTTCTGCCCCCCCCCAAACGTTTTTCCTCATTACGCCACTGCTCCCTCGTCCCTCGCATTTTGCCCCCCCCCCCCCGGTCTTGAAAGGAAATCGCCGCCCCTGCACGGTATGCACCATTATCAAATTCTATCTAAACAAAATAATGTCACTGCATCATTCTAAATTCAGTCAGCCTCTTTTGGGCTGCCACGCAAAATAATGTGGAAAACTGTTTAGACCGTTTAGACGTTGTTTTTCTCTCCAGAGGGCAGTGGCGGATCCAGGGGGGGGGGGCCGGGAGGCCCGGGCCCCCCCCCCCCCCCTTGAGAAAAAAATCATGTAAAATCACGTGATTTTTACCTTTTTTTGAGGTTGGGCCCCCCCCCCCCCCTGGCGCTCAAGGGGGGGGGGTGCAAATTGAAATTTTTTCGAGGATCAAAAAAAAAAAGTTGGGCCCCCTCCCCTAAGAAATCCTGGATCCGCGCCTGCCAGAGGGCCAATTAGCTACAAGTAGTACAGTGGGGATTTTAAAAACAGAAATAGCACGTATTAATATTTGTTCTTCTTCTAATTCCTATATTTACTTCAAGCTTGCTAATATCAACATTATTATTTGTATTCCCGATTTCTTTAGATTTCTTTGGATATATTGTTGTTGATTCTTAATTTGAGAAAAGGGTCATTATTCATAAGGGTCATCATTCATATTTAATGACCCCGATTCATAATCGAAAATGAGGGTTGCTATTCATAATATGAGAAGAGGGTCGTACTCGCTATAATACAAAATCGGGTCGAAATTCATAGGCCTATGGGTCCCTATTCATAATACGAAATAAGGGTCGCTATTCATAATACGAGAAGAGGGTTGCTAGTCATAAAAATTACATAGCAAACAAAATGATAAGAAAGGGAAATGTTGGCTATGGCGTAGCTCTGGGGGGGGGCGACACATGGCCCCGAATATTTGTCGCAAACATTGTGAAAATTTACTTTCGTGACAAGACGAGATAGTTTACAAGGAAACCACCTCATCAGGCCCATATAAATAAATATGAATGTCTGACATCTGACTGTCCGAGTCGTCATCATAAGCGTAGAAGGCGAGGGGAAATATTTCATAATGTAGATGTGTTTGTTTTATAATGATCTATCTTGTTTAATGACAATTCACGTCAGCCTTACTCCTCGTTTGTTTTGTTCCCTTTATTGTAATTTTTTATTTTGATTTGGCTATTTAATGTCATTGACTCTTTATATTTTGTGTGTGAACCTGTATGGATGCATACGTGTATTTGAATAATTAATACGTGTATTTTATCTGTTGCTTAGGATTTATCAGGTCTCGAATTAATTAATATTAACTTTCCTGAACCTGCATGCACATTTGTATTTTACATTCCGTTTTTTTTTTTGGTGTTTGTTATGTATTCCTCATTATATCCTGCCCCCTTGTTGCTACGAGGAGGGCTAGATATCCCACCCCAATTATAAACAAAAACAAATTCATCACGGCATTTATTTTTATTTATTTTCCGCACTAGACCTTATCAAAACCTTCTGACCCATCACCACAAGGCGTCGCTAGACCTTTTTCAACGGGGCGGAGAGGGGGGGGGGGGTGTAGAGGCCACCGATTATCGACAAAACTAGCCACCCATATTATTACCGACAAATATACTAATACCAATGTCCCAATGTCAACACATTTCACCCTATAAACACGGGGCTAAGAGCTAAATTAACGTGTCAAAGATCTTGAAAGTTGTATTCATGATGTACGAAAATGGATGAATGATTGCTATCTCAAACTAAATGACGATAAAACAGAATTTCTCTTGTTAGGCTCCAGACAACAACTTTCCAAGATTGTTATAACTCATATATGTGTTGGTTCTGTGCACATTGCTCCTTCAGATAAGGCAAGAAATCTTGGTGTCATTTTCGATACAAGCATGTCTCTTGATGCACATATTTCAAAATGTGTGAAAGCTGCCAATTATCATCTTCGTAATCTTCGCGCTATAAGGAAATTTTTAACCCCCCAAACCACTCAACAATTGATTCATGCTTTTGTAACATCTCATCTCGATAACTGTAACTCTCTCCTTTATGGACTTCCTAAATACCAAATTCACAGACTACAAAAGGTTCAAAACACAGCTGCCCGCCTTGTCACTAAATCTAAACGATCGACCCATACTACTCAAATACTCAAGAAACTTCACTGGCTTCCAATAGAACAGCGTATCAAATATAAAATTCTACTACTCACCTACCGTTCACTAAATGGATCAGTCCCTGAATATATTTCCTCTCTTTTTAATATCTCTTTAAGTTCTCGTGCAGGTATTCGTTCCTCTAATTCAACAAATTTAACACAATAGAACAAAGAGGAGTTGGGGAGACAGAGCTTTTACAGCTGCTGCACCCCGGTTATGGAACTCCCTACCCCATTCAATCAAAATGTCAGCCAATCAAAATGTGTTCCAAAAACAAATGAAAACCTATCTAATGTCTGAGTTCCTTAGTTAAGACGTAGTGTATTTCAAAATATGATGTAATTAACGTTGTTGAATTATATTTGATTATGTTAAATTATTTTCGTTCAATGTACTTACCTTGTTAGGCGCCTTGAGCATCTCTTGGGGTGGATATGTGCGCATTATAAATGTTGTTATTATTATTATTTTTTTTTTTTTTAAGTGCGAAAGCTTTGACATTTCATTAAATTGTTAGAGAAAGAAGACGATTCGTTATACCTTTCCCGACTCGTAATCCTATTCTGAATTTAGTTTTTCCCCCTCCCACGCGGAGCGCTGAAGCTTTGACATTTCATTAAATTATTAGAGAAAGAAATTCTCAATCGCAGTTCCCGGCCTCTTCCGCTTTGCC